AAGACTGGATTATATTGATGTCATAATTCAAAAATTAAAAAATAATTCAGATGGATATCGCCATACAATGGGCCGTATACATGATATTGTTTATATTTATGTAGTTTTCTATGGTTACACAAGAAGATTATTTTTTTTTCATAATATAAATATTGTTTTTATATATGAACTCTATTAAACCATTAATCTTTGTTAAATATGGCTAAGATGCAGTTGTGTAACTTCGCCGTGGTTTGTGGAATGTTATACATATTTGTCATTATGGTAGGCACTTTTTATTTTTCAACCATCATGTCTTCGCAGCAACAATCATGTAAGTGTTAACTGTGGTACTATAATATTTACGATAGCGTTTACCAATGGCTTGCGAGCCGTGATTCTCGTAAGTGGCGAGTTAGACACGACAAGTGGTGTGGTATCCACAGCTGTTTGTTGGCTCTGGATTGTTGTATTGTATATTTTATACAGTTTTATTCAAGGTTATAGATATATCTGTAAAAGTACAATGTATTAAGTAGTTAATATGTAAAAGTTTAGCAAAGTACTTTTTATGGCACACATAGGTAAGTATAGTTGGTATATTGGTATATCCAAATTTTTAATTAATTAGTTATAGTAGGTATTAGTGTACGTATCCAAATCTATAACGAATGCCAATTTAAGCAAAAACTTACAGTTGTATTTTGTAATAAAGTACCTATTATTTTATTCACTTCAAACAAAATAGTCGCTGTTTATTTAAACTACCATCCATCCACTTGTGCGGATTGTTCTAATACACATTGAAACCATGAGAACTTTAGTTCTATTTTTCTCATTGTTTAAGTAAATGGTTTCTAATTAAACTGTAGGATACGGATATCTAATAAAGGCAGAGCTCAGCCTGTATTATACATCAAATTAAATAGAGCAACCCAACAGTAGGTAGTTCTTACAGAAGAGGGACAGGATTGATCTAAAAATTATTAAAAACTGTAAAACAATATGTTACCTAATGCATAGTTGATTTTTTTCCATTTTTAGTCGACATGTATTTAGTTGAAAGTTATCAATTATGAGGCTAAAATCACTTAAATGTCGATTATTTCATGTAAATATAACATATGACAATTACTAACTTCATCCAACAGATACATTCCCTGTATAATTGTAGTTGTAATATTACAAGTTTAATAATAAATGTTGGGAAAACAGAACAATGATATTATTTTTAAAGTATTTATTTTCAATTTCCTTTACATTATTTTAACCCAATAACCATGTTCAACATCTAAATACATTTTTTTTCCAATTTGTCTATTGTATTTCCCTTTTCTGTAATATTGGCTGTACGATTTGTTAATAGCCTTCAAGTCTGATACAGAAATTACTAGTGTAGAATCTTAATTATTAGAATTAGTATAGAATTGTAGTAGTATAGAATTAGGTACAGGTACCCAGTTAACCTAGTTTTATGTATAATAATAATTTTTATTTAGAGCTGCAATTTAAAAATTTAAAAATCACATGGTTATCTATTATATAAAATGTGAATTTTTTTAGCATAATTTCACATATAAGGGTAATCAGCTCTCCGGTGTAGATTTTTAGTTGAACTGATGAGCGGGGTGCCGAATATATGGGTCCATGTTTAGAATATAAAGACATATTATCGATTAATATTTCTATTATCTATGTTATTAAATATTAACCTTCCAATGAGGACAATTTATATCTACCTTTTTCTACCGAATATTTCCAACTGACTTCACTACATAATATTAATATTCCGATACAGAAATTTTATTATATAAAGTGCTTGCTGTCGGGACTCATTGGTTCGCTTTGTAATCACAGTCCAGAGAATATTCGTAACTTTTCTGTCACTCACCAGTGACTGAAGAGCGCGTACTACGGCATTTGCTACATACGCGGTACAAAGCAGCAACGGGCAATCACATTTTGTTATCAATTTTGTTACTACCTATAACTTTTGTCATTTATGTTTTAAGATTATATATACCATTTTGTATACAATTAATTTTAATATTTTGAAATATAATTATAAATAAATATTTAAAACATATTATTAATATGTTCATCATACATTATTATTAAGGTGGGCTTACTTTAGACCGTTCTCGTTTCCTAATTTCTTCTTGTCCTGTAATCGGATGGGTATTCTTCTGATTTACTGAAATATTTACCATAATGTTGGATCTAGTTAAACTTTTTCCTTCCAAATTATCGACTTTAGCATTTAGATGGTATCAGCAATCCCAGATAAACAACATTAACCGTGCTTACCGGTGTCTAATTTTTAATACATATGTATATACACAATAAACGTTCACGTACTCGTGAACGGTCCAGTTTAAGTTCACCTTAAAGACTAAAGTTAAATTGAAAGTCAGGCTATACATAATTTCCTCACCTGGTTCATATATATTTTTTTTTAATTTTACATACCTGAATAGATTTTAAAAAAAGACATTTAATATAGCAATAATAGGTATTTCTTCTTCAGATACACATTTACAGCGAAACAATGTATTAGTGTATTTCGTGGAGAATCGAAGAGTACCCACTGATATTACAGACGGCACAGAGGAGAAACACCTTCATTTTTCAGTAGTTCAACCTCAAAAACAGATTAGGACGATAGCACCCTCTTCGTGGTTAGTAACCTTATGTCACATGCAATGGCTATTGCCTTTATTGACGTTCTGTGAGAAACATCAACAAAATAATCATACGTTATTATTGGAACCGACCAAGTCGAAAAACGAAATGCGTTCAGATAACAATACATCGACCGGGTTTGTCCACAAAGGTACGTACCTACTTCTGGAGGGCCATCACATTTTTTCCGTCTTGTATTCCAATATTAATTATTGTATAATTAAAAATAATAATACAGACAAGGTGACCAATGACAATGAGTATCTCGCCAGACCTAAGGGAAAATACAATATCATAGATCTCTCGTTGTCGGGAGAGGTGCCTTTGGTGTACATGGCGTTCATCTTCGGAGTTGTACTGATAGTCATATTTATCTTTTCACTGTGTGTTTGTTTTCGATCAAAACGTACGTTAAAAAATGATGAAACTTAATGAAAATAATATGAGATATGTTAGCCCTTGTGGCCCAACCAAAATATAATAAATAATTTGAATAATAAACAATACAAGTAAAACAATTTACGGCCCTGTTGGCACAACAAGTGATCACATATGGTCAAAATTCAAATAGTTAGCTACTTATTACAACTTGGTGATGTGTTGTTTGGCCAGCTGCAACCTATACCTTTTTTTTTCCTTGTAGCATAACTACATAGTGCCAATAATTTGAACAACGTTGATATGCCCTCAATTAAAAACGTGCTTATAAGTTATATTATATATCCAATCCTTGAATACGACAAATATCTACAATATAGTATAGATAATATGTACTTGCAGTCCGATCATCCACGTTCAGGGTTTCATAGACATCGAGACAACCACGATCTAGCTATGAATGAACAGAAATCGGAAAATGCGTGCAATGAAAAATATATCGTCTGACGCGCACGTATTATCATTATACGACGGTATAACGACAGGACGGTTATTTGACAGTAAATAAATAAATAAATATTTTATTAATGTTCAATAATATATTATAATTTGAAATTATTATCGAAGTCTGCTAAATTTATTTAAATTATTGTTAATTACTTTTGAATTATTACTGGATGTATATTAATCCACGAAAATTAAGTATAAAATCTTTTTCTAATAATTATTCTCAGAGGGGGAAAAATGGTTTTTAAAGTTTAAAAATTGAGCTTCTCTAAGAATATTATTTTAAAAAAAATTATGGTTCTCTTCACACTTAGCAATGTACAGTTTTATCGTAATATGTTCACATACAAATTCCATGACTTCGGGACTAATAAATTCCGAGAGATCTGATATAATTGTTTTTGATACGTGCAAGCAGCTCAAGGTAGTGATACTTGACTAAGGTTATTGAATTCCGCATATGTTTTTAATGCAATTTTTTTCCGATAATTATCCGTCTGTTCTGGGTCATATGTGTGATCGTCGGATAATTTATGCGTCGGATCACGATGTAAGTAAAACGGTGTAGTCACTATCAATTGTACGTATGAGAAATAAATGCGTACTCACTTTTAAACTCCAGTGGTCGGCTGTTTTTTACATTGTACTCCTTAAGACCCTGGGTCTCTAATCGCCAATGATCTAATGCCATCATCTCCAACTCCCCTTCTTTGATGTCGTATACATCACAGCTCCTCGAAGTTTGTAACTTCATAGCCATCGATCAAATGTCCGCCATATATACATGCGGAATCATACCGTATTTCCGTTGGTATCCTGTCGCGTCGTCACTGTGATTTCCTGATGGCCTTGTATGGGCGAAAACGCTGCAGCTCGGTAAGTGTATATAGTTTCAACGCATTGGCCAGCAAGTAATACGCGATATTAAACCTACAATCGTTTTGCCACTATATTCCTTTAATTATGTCGGATATAGAACAATGCGCTCCCGTACAGGTATCGGATGTCGGTTTGTAATCCTCAGAACCGAAGGTAAATGTTTTACAGCGCCTGACCACATGAAGACTTTTTATATATTTTGAATCTATCTAACATTATAGACTGCATGATATTGTTGTGAAAATAAACGGCAGCTCCGCCAGAATAAAACATTCATGTTATATTTACGTAATAAAATAAAATAACATATAAACAGATAATAGTTATATATACATATTATGTACAATCATTTCGAAACGTTTCGAAGTGTAATAATGTAGGTATATTCTATAACGATAATGATAGTTATTCTAGGTTTTTTAATATGTAATTTCGTCCAAAACTGAAACGAAATTAACTATAAAAATAAATACTAATTTGTATGGTGTATAGGAAATGCTCTAAGAAACAACAAATTAAGTTAATCGTTCGGTATTTCTATGACTATATTCTTTGTTACATATTTTTTTATAATTTTAGGTTTTTCGAACAGAAGACCAACCATATTTTTTACATAAATCTGTATAATACTCTTTACTTTTAAGCTTTTTGCCAAAACGTTTAGATAATTTATTGTATGTAGTACCGTCTACATCATTGACTTTAGTCATGGCCGGAAAAATGGGATCAATTACTTTATCATATTCGTTAAACAAGAGTGGTGCTTTAAACCTTTCATTTACTTTTTGAATTAAAATGTCTTTAATGTTTTCAAAGATAAATTCATTTATCTCTAACATTTTGAAAATCAACTCAATACATGGTATACAACAACTTATTGCGGTTTCAGCATCAATTATGATATTCTGTGATTTAGATTGATTCCTAAAACACAAAGAACATAGAACTCCGTATCTATTAGTTTTCGAATCTGAAATTACTTTACTAGATTTTATGTCAAAACATTTAATACCATCAATTATTTTAAAATAGTTTTCATCTGTCGATGTAAAGCGGTCAATGTCAATCGAAGCTTTGTGATTTCTTAGTTTATTTATTGTGTTATTCGTATTTATATTTCACTCACACACATTAGCTTTATCGTGACTATTGATATTTGTATTAATATTTTGTTTTTCGGTTATATTTTCTATGTCGGTTTCATCGGTTAAAAAATTTAATTTACTTTTCTTTTTGTAATTTGCAATATCTGTGATTTGTTTACGTTTGTTTATTTTTTTTACTATTGCAGCCGGTCCCTGTTTGTCATAGTGCAGGGGTGGCAAACCTTTTTTGGGTCAAGTGCCAAAATTTAAAATCAAGTTTTTTGAAATATGTTCGCGTGCCACCAAAAAAAAAAAATTAATTACCTAGTAAGGTAAGATGAAAAGAAAAAGCATGCAATGATTACACACATTTTATTAGGTATATACTATATAATTTAATAAATAAATAATAAATAAATAGTATATATGTAAAGTTTTATTTCATTTATTAATGTGATTTCTGTTGTTGTTTTTTAGAAGATAACATTTTAATATCTGGAGTATAGTTGGTAGTTTTCAGTGAAACACAAGCAGCACTAGTTTCATCGATTAATGTATTTCTCTGCTTCGTTTTTATTAAATTCATTATGGAGAATAAACTTTCACAAGCATAAGTTAACGAAAAAATTGATAGGATAGAATGAGCAACTTTTTTTAATGTGTTAAATGTGTTTGGAAGCGAATTCCAGACTTTAAGAATTTCAGTATCTGCATTTTTTACTATGTTTGCTTGAAGACGGTTGATTTATATTTCTTCGATTAGTTGTCTTAAGTCAATGAATTTTTGTTTCCACGTATTACAGGATTGAAGATCAATTAACTCAAATTCAAATGTATCTATATTCATCCATTCAAAATAATGTAAATCTAATTCATCGTAATTGCAAGTATCAGGGCATTTGAGGAACTTAATATTACATTCAAAGTTTTTAAAATCTATAAACCTGTTATTGAACTGCTGAATTGTTTCTTTTATGATACTTAAAAAATTGTTTATATTTTCATCTAATTTAGGAGTCTCGTTGATTTCAATTTCACTCAGGACTTTGTTTAAATGTTGAAAATATTTAAATTTATGGTTTTCTATATCACGTATAAATACATTTAATTTTGTTTCAAAGCTTTTTATTAAACTAAACATGAACTCTAAATTTTTTCAGGTACCTTGCAATTTTAAATTGAGTTCATTTAAATGCAAACAAAAATCAGTAAAAAACATTAAATTGCACAACCAATTTATATCTGTTAATTCAGTGTAATTTTTTTGGTTTTCACTCAAAAATAAACGCATTTCGTGTAAACATTCTATAAATCGTTCTAAAAGGTTGCCTCTACTAAGCCAACGAACATTATTGTACATCACGAGTCCTTTATGAATAGAATTTACATCTTCTAATAATAAACTAAATTGCCTTTTATTTAATGCTCGGGCATTTATAAAGTTTACAATTTTTGTTACAAGCTTTAAAATATTTTTATACTGCATTAGTCCGTCCTTAGCACACAACGCTTAATGATGAATTATACAATGAAAACCAATTAAAGGATGTCCAATTTTTTTTGAAAAAAGGTTAACAAAACCACGGTCTTTTCCAATCATACAAGGGGCGCCATCGGTAGTTACTGATACAATTTTAGATAAATTTAATCCAATATCTTCAAGGACATTTACAACAACTTCACATATATTTTCACCGGTAGTCTTAGCTGGTATAGGTGCTAATTTTATAAGTTCTTCACGAACTTCATCGTTAATACAGAAACGAGAAATTATTGAAAGACGGGCAGACGATGTTATATCTGTACTCTCATCGATGCAAATAGAAAAAAATGAACTTAGGTTTAAATCGTGTATTAATTGATTTTCAATATTAGAATTCATACTTAGTATTCTATCTTTAATAGTATTTCTACTGATTGACAAGTCTTTAATACGTTGTATAATTGCATCTTTATTATCAAAGTCTTGAAAAAGGTTATCAGCGCAATCTAACCACGACATCTTAATAAAATCTCCATCACTAAACGGTTTTCCCCAAACAGCGATAGACTTTGCAACATCAAAACTGGCAGACACTAAATTGTCAGATTTTTAACAAATTTAATTTATTTATCACTTTGTGCATCTTTATTTGATAGTGCACGTGAAATAAAACATTTTAGTTCATCGGCAGATTTTGTTAACTACAGTGTTTTATGAATAGTTTCAAAATGACGTTTGACAGATGAAGTCCGACATACAACACTTTCTGAACACAGTACACATAACGCTTTATTATTTTTGAATGTCCACCATTCTTGAAAGTTTCGACTCGTTGATTCTTCAGAACATTTCATTTTTTTTGAAAGTGACATATTAATAAAATTTCCTGTATTTATTTAATTATCAATAATCACGATAGTTGACAACGGCCGACGGGTAACTAAATTATAAGTTCGTTTGAACCTTGAACGGCTGTACAAATGTGCAATTGTTGTTATCGCAACGGGTCGCGGTATCGGTGAGTTTAAAATAAACTTCGTAATCGAATGTTGGGTACTTTGCACTTCTATCGTAGCAATAAGAGTACAAAAATCATAAATATTATTTATTATTACATTTATAAACACATTTTATGACAAACTTATAAATTTGATTCTTAAAATTTCTTATACCAAAGTTTTAAAATATAATATTTTTTTTTAAGATGAATAATATTTACGTGCCACTGAAATTTGGTCAACGTGCCACTTCTGGCACGCGTGCCATAGGTTCGCCACCCCTGCCATAGTGGAATAATTGTATACCAAAATCGTCACACAGAATATCGTTTTCCCTAGTCAATGTATCGAAATCATAGCCAACACAATCACTATGACTCAAGTCATAACATTCTTTAACTTTATTACATTTATTTTCATCATTTTAACTAAATTGTCCTCAACACTGCTCTGTTCACTATCCGAACATGAACTGATTTTTTTCCGTTTAATTAGTTTTTTTCGTTTAATTTTATCTTGTTTATCCCAATGGGCTGGAAATAGTTCTCTATCAATAGTATCTTTAGTATTTAAAATAAAATCATATACATTTAACTTTTCATTTTTGTAGTCCTCGTCACCAACGCCATCTTCCAACCATGGTAATGATTTTTTTTTCGAAACAATTATCTTATTATTTAACGATACTATATGCTTTTCAAATTTACCTATCGCACTTATAAAGAGTTTCGACCATTCTGCTGACGTTAATGGATTACCCCGACGCAACATGGCCGGCCCCAATGCATATGACAAATACGCATGACATAACTGTACTAACAGCTTCACAACTGAAGTTTCTTTGTCAAACATAGATTTTATAACCTTGGCTTAAGCATATATTGTGGTGATAATGGCTTCTTTAAATTTTTTTGCAAATGCTTCTGAATAACTAAAAGGAATGATGGTTGTAAAGTACCAGGGAATAAGGTGGTTGTTATGATTATCGAAAAATAATACCGACGTCTCTGATTTTAAGTTCATTTTTAATACGCCCGTATCTATAACATAGTCCGAAACCCAGTATATTACAATCATAAACAAATTGTCGCAAGAAATACATAAATCGATTGGAATTTGGGATTCATTTTTAAAAAATCGTCCCAATAGCGCGAATAAGTCAATTTTACTAAATACAGCTTGATGTTTTTTAATAATGTCATTATTTTTAGCAATCGTGTTATAAAACACACTTTGTTTTTTCGATTCATCTATATCGTTTAAATTATGTACATTTGTCATCGTGAACAACCATTCGCAAATAGTATCCTTATTTCTAATTAAGATATTGTAGGTGTGGGGGAAATATAAATTGTGTGTATTCAATTCTGAAAATAACATAGCCATGCCTTCAAACACATCACTTGTAAATTTAAATTCCGTTAACAATGTAATTATATTATTTTTGAGATACACTAATGATAACTCCGTTATACAACGTGTTTCGTTAAATCTACCAAAAAAAATGACTAATTGGATAACTCTAGTTAAAAGTTTTTTAATATTTTAAAAGGGTCTCTTGGCATATCGTTTATTTTAATTTATATATAATGTGAGATAGGATATTTTTTTTGTCCTCTCGATTAATGCCCTCGTTATAATTTTTCAGGTCTTGCGTATCTAATTTCCAGTTCCCTAACAACAACATTTCGATTTCACCTTCAATTATGTCATATGTTTCAGTTGCTCTTGATTTCAACAATTTTATCACCAAAATTTCCAATTCCGGTAAATAAACTGTTGGAATATATCCGTAAGTCAAATCATACACCATAATATCATGTTTATAATTTGATGATAAGTTCTCTATAACTGGAAAGTGTAATTTATTGGTTGTGTATGTTTGTAATGTCTCCCCCAGTTGAGACGGTTGTATTGAAATATTTGTATTATTTATTTTATCAATTCTCCGTAATACATGTGGAAAAAAAGTCTTAATAACATACAAGCACCAAGTAAACGTGATATATTATTAATAATCTTACTTGACTTTCATATGCATTATTTCAAACGCAATTTTAAAGAAGAACTCTCGCCATTCTCTCAACAACTCTATATTTATCACACATTCTTCGAGTAGTATTTTTTCTATTTTTCTGTAAATGACAACGCGCCATCTATATAACACATCAATGTCTACAGCCGCCACTGTTATGTTTGGTGGGGATGACATAATTATAATTTTCGCAACTCCTACTGGTTTATTCATTTTTTTACTATAAAACAAATACAGAATAATATGTTATATTCAAAACAATAATCATTAACCAGATTTAAAATACAATTCAGTGGAATAATAAATTAACGATCACTAGTAATAGTCAATACAGTCGTATACGCCGTTCACAGACGTACACAAATAAACGAACTTTATATTTATAATAAGCACTTTTATGAAACTTTGACGTCCAGTGGCGATCGAGTCACACGATCACCACTCACTAACCCATTTTCTGTTCTCACATGTATACCTTATATCTTAAACTTCAAATCGAGTACCTAACTATCGAATAATATCGATTGTCCTATGATTAAATTATACCTAATTGTTATTATATTACATTTGTTTTATAGTAAAAAAATGAATAAACGAGTAGGAGTTGCGAAAATTATAATTATGTCATCCCCACCAAACATAACAGTGGCGGCTGTAGACATTGATGTGTTATATAGATGGCGCGTTGTCATTTACAGAAAAATAGAAAAAATACTACTCGAAGAATGTGTGATAAATATAGAGTTGTTGAGAGAATGGCGAGAGTTCTTCTTTAAAATTGCGTTTGAAATAATGCATATGAAAGTCAAGTAAGATTATTAATAATATATCACGTTTACTTGGTGCTTGTATGTTATTAAGATTTTTTTTCCGCATGTATTACGGAGAATTGATAAAATAAATAATACAAATATTTCAATACAGCCGTCTCAACTGGGGGAGACATTACAAACATACACAACCAATAAATTACACTTTCCAGTTATAGAGAACTTATCATCAAATTATAAACATGATATTATGGTGTATGATTTGACTTACGGATATATTCCAACAGTTTATTTACCGGAATTGGAAATTTTGGTGATAAAATTGTTGAAATCAAGAGCAACTGAAACATATGACATAATTGAAGGTGAAATCGAAATGTTGTTCTTAGAGTACTGGAAATTAGATACGCAAGACCTGAAAAATTATAACGAGGGCATTAATCGAGAGGACAAAAAAAATATCCTATCTCACATTATATATAAATTAAAATAAACGATATGCCAAGAGACCCTTTTAAAATATTAAAAAACTTTTAACTAGAGTTATCCAATTAGTCATTTTTTTTGGTAGATTTAACGAAACACGTTGTATAACGGAGTTATCATTAGTGTATCTCAAAAATAATATAATTACATTGTTAACGGAATTTAAATTTACAAGTGATGTGTTTGAAGGCATGGCTATGTTATTTTCAGAATTGAATACACACAATTTATATTTCCCCCACACCTACAATATCTTAATTAGAAATAAGGATACTATTTGCGAATGGTTGTTCACGATGACAAATGTACATAATTTAAACGATATAGATGAATCGAAAAAACAAAGTGTGTTTTATAACACGATTGCTAAAAATAATGACATTATTAAAAAACATCAAGCTGTATTTAGTAAAATTGACTTATTCGCGCTATTGGGACGATTTTTTAAAAATGAATCCCAAATTCCAATCAATTTATGTATTTCTTGCGACAATTTGTTTATGATTGTAATATACTGGGTTTCGGACTATGTTATAGATACGGGCGTATTAAAAATGAACTTAAAATCAGAGACGTCGGTATTATTTTTCGATAACCATAACAACCACCTTATTCCCTGGTACTTTACAACCATCATCCCTTTTAGTTATTCAGAAGCATTTGCAAAAAAATTTAAAGAAGCCATTATCACCACAATATATGCTTAAGCCAAGGTTATAAAATTTATGTTTGACAAAGAAACTTCAGTTGTGAAGCTGTTAGTACAGTTATGTCATGCGTATTTGTCATATGCATTTGGGTCACATTTTTCATTAAACTTATATACCCAAAATAGAATTAGAAGGACTAGCAAAATACAACATATTATTCTATATTACAACAAACACACAACCAAAAAATTACAAATTAAAACCAACAAATTACCAACATTTCAAAATAATACATACATCAGTATTTAAATCATTCATTTATCCCAAAACATATAATTCCATCTAATTATTAAAAAAAAAAAAAAAAAAAACAGAATATTATAACAGCAATAATAAAAACCATTTCAATAGAAGCCCAACATACAAAACAAGCATGACCTACCTTCACCCCCGACCTCTGACCACATATACATTCGAAATATTATGACTACCAGATGGGCTAACAGCCAGACGCAATTTGATAAAACATAATCCCAAACCCAACACCCATCTAACATTATCTCAATATCTTAAAACATTACTCACAAAGTATATCAAAATACACCCCTACTCCAAAAAATTGATATCCAAATCCATACGAGAGACATGGACCACCGAAAAATAAAAACTAACCCACTTCAGTCTACCGAGACAATCTACGGAACATACAACAGACAAAACCATGGCAGGATACACGAACGAATTCTTCAAGTACTGGTACAACTCTTCTATAATTGAAGAATACCTAACTATACTAACCAATGAAAATCCAGCATCTCATTTCTTTAGCGTAGACTTTTTAAAAAAATACTGCGAGGAAAGACTTAACGGAATTATAAGATGGGTCAAAAAACCCATCCTGGACATGGACTCGCTACTATTTCCCATCAACGTGGGAAATCACTGGATTCTAATTGTGGTATTCCTTAATAGCAAAATGGTGGTCTGCTATGATGGCAAGCATAGGAACCACCAATACATGTTATCAATAATCAAAACATTCATGACAGATTGGGAAAAATATTCGAGTGTCCAGCTTTTGACTTGGAGGACATTACATGGAATCACACCAACACAGCACAACAACGACGACTGTGGGCCATGGATTCTAGCCGTAGCCAAGTGCGTGGCACTAGTTGAACCAATCTGTTTCACAGAAAAGGACATGCCACAAATAAGAATACAACAATACCAGAACATCATGTCCAATACTATACAATCCGCTACACCGCCACCCAGGACAACACAATCCGATACTATACAATCGACTACACCGCCACCAGGACACATAATCCATACATACAATCACTACACCGCCACCCAGGTCAACACAATTCAGCCAAAAACCTCCCACATCAAACACAACCAATACAGGGGCAACGACCAAACAGACAATCACCACCACAACAACGAACATCACACATGGTACACCTACGGCAACCACCACTACAGACGAGCCCACCATTCAAACCCCACCCACAATCACAGCCATGACACCAGCACCGATGATACCACACCCAACCAATTCCACAAATCACAAAACAAGGAACGAACACCACGTAAGCAAACGCACTAAAAGACGCAGGCGACGTGCCTTCTATAAAGCCATATATAGCACACACCCCACCACATAGACTCACCCAAAATTCTACTATTCATAATTTAATAATACAATCATGCCAATAAACACACATATCATAATCAAACACCCATTTTTAAGAGACATATCGAAATTCAGAAAATAACAAAAAATCATTACCACCCAAATTATTTATAACACATTCTTTATAATACACAACCACTAACACAGTCCTAGTCCACATATCACATAGACCAACGTCAATTAAATTCTAAAGCCTCTTCTATATAACCGACAACACAAAATATCACAACAATTATCCACATAACCATCCTGTACAATCTTAATATACTAACAAATACGAACTATGTATTATCGATAACACAACAAATTATTTCAACAGATCAAACCATTTTTTTTAGTTTATATAAAAATTCCCCACGAACACAATGTAAAATCACATCACACCCAACTTTTGCATTATATACGTATATAAAACTTTGTCATTTGTATAATTAACCACACCTTGAATAAGTTATTGTAAATACACCGTGGGGACACGGTGAAAAAAGAACCTCCGTGCAATTTGTAATATATGAATAATACACTTTATATTTAAATAAACTTGTAAAATGAATATATCAGGTAGGTTCATACTTGGGTGTAAAAACACAAACGCAATTAAAACATATTACGCAATACCAAGAAATATTAGGCAACCAACATTCCTTAACGATTACATAACAATATTTCCGAGACGTACACACACTAAAAAAACATGCCCATATATGGTTATAAAGAAACAACAAGATAAGAAAACATTACGCAACACACGTACATCATTACGTAACCGAAAATTCCACACTATACGAACACCGACGCATGCGCAAAATTGCACAAATACAAAAATTAATTGAATGCCAAAAACTGTCGCTAAACCTTTACACAAATGAAAAAGGACATTAAACACACATGAACACACAACCTATTGAAACAAATACTCCATACAAAAATTACAAAAATCCACAATGACATATGATCAAAGTATGTTACTCACTCAAGCACCTAAGCGACAAAATACCACTCCTAAAAATTACACGAAGGGAAAATAAGAAAACGGCAACAATATATCATAACGCAAATCAAAAGACAACACCACATCAAAATTCGATATAGCACTAACTTACGAAATCATAATACCAAATATTTTATTCATCAACATAAGCTTATACAACTTACACCACAGAAACACTTCCGGTGTGCAAAACACAACTTAAATGTACACATATGCGCACTACACAACATTTGGTGAAACAACCAAATGTCGATACCAATACTATGCGCAACAAGACAAATACGATAGCATTTAACATACGAATTACTTTTCTCATATTAATATTGCAGAAACACTAACGACAAAGTGCAAAAATATAACTTAAATGTACATGTATGCGCACTGTACGACATTCGGTCAAATAAACAGATGTCACTACCAAAACTATGCGCAAAAGCAACATTAAAACAAGACACAGTATACGAAACAACCTTCTCATACTAATATTGCCAAAAAAATCAACAACAATGTGCAAAAACGACATAAAACGTGCGCACATGTGCACCACACCACATTCGGTCAAATAACCAGATGACACTGCCAAAACTATGCGCGAAAAAAATAATAAAACAGCACATAACATACAAAACACCCTACTTAGAACAATATAGGCAAAGAGTAACGACAATGTACAAAAATGACATAAAATGTGCATACATGCGCACCATACGATATTTGGTCAAACAAACTGAAATCACTGCTAATATTATGCGCAAAAAGAATCATAAGATGACACTCAATGTAGGGAACACTTTTATCATATCAAATTTGCAAAAACCCAACGACATTATGCGAAAACACGACATGAATACGCGCACATGCGCAATTCACATAACAAATACGAATAATCTATTGTAACGTTACGTAATAACAATAGAGTGGGAATAAGATAATCGCTTCCTTATATAAACCCCACGCACAAACAACAGACACACAGTAGTACACTCCACGCAACACGTCAGTTCAACACAGAGGACCACGCCGATGGCGGCCGCGGATAAACCATGCAACATCAACCAGTTTCTCTTTTGACACAAAATTAATCTTTCTCTACAAAGTTAACTTACTATTGCGTTTGTTTTGAAAGCAGGTATGAGCTCACTTTTGGTATATTCATTTTGCTATTTTACCATAACAACATTGTTATTTCAATTTTTTACAATCCTAACAATCCTTCAGTAATGTTAAGTCATGTAGGGAAGACATCCACATACTCCTATCCAAGTTCTACATTCCTAAGAATATTTGACTTAAATCACTTGTACCATACATAAAATGCATTTCAACTCGTAAAGTATCTACATAAATTTCATCTCAATTACTGTTGGTCAATTCATTGTCTCTCCTAGACGTTGGGTTGCCAAAATATATTTGCAGTTTAGATCTCGAGCAAGGGACCGGGCAGACTTATGCGCTGCGCCGAAAGTACTTTCCTCTTAAGCAACTAAGCTTCAAATATATAAGTAGTTGAAATAAGTGTTATAAAAAATATTAAATGAAAACGAATAATAAACTTCACTTCTATTACCGTTTGTCAATTCATTGTCTCTACTAGACATTGGGTTGCCAAAGTATATTTGCAGTTTAGATCTCGAGCAAGGGACCGGGCAGACTTATGCGCTGCGCCGAAAGTACTTTCCTCTTAAGCAACTAAGCTTCAAATATATAAGTAGTTGAAATAAGTGTTATAAAAAATATTAAATGAAAACGAATAATAAACTTCACTTCTATTACCGTTTGTCAATTCATTGTCTCTACTAGACATTGGGTTGCCAAAGTATATTTGCAGTTTAGATCTCGAGCAAGGGACTGGGCAGACTTACGCGGTACGCCGAAAGTACCTTAATCTTAAGCGACTAAAAATTCATATATATAAGTGGTTGAAATGAGTGTTATAAAAATATTAAATAGAACGAATAATAAACACCACTTCTATTGCTGCTTGTCAATCCATTGTCTCTCCTAGACGTTGAGCTGCCAAAATATATTTGCAGTTTAAATCTCGGGCAAGGGACCGGGTAGACTTATGCGCTGTGCCGAAAGTACCTTCCTCCTAAGCGACTAAACCTCAAATATATAAGCAATAGAAACGCGTGCTATATAAATGTCAATCAGAAAACTAGTAGGTAATAAAATTCATTCATAAATATTTCTTGAAGTAAACAGACAAATACCATAATAATATATAACAGATATGCATATATTCATAATGTCTGCACATAAGTAATTGTAAAAAACAATCTTCATAATGTCCTCAGCTCCCATCAAAAAATATCCTTACAAACTAAATTCTATCACAATCGTAATGAGCCAACAGTGTTTAATATAGAAATGTATACTTAATTGAAACTAGGATATTGTGGTGTAAATCGTAAAGTATAAATAACGTGCATCGACTCACACCAATTAGAAACGGTACTCCAATCAATATTCCAACGAGAGTCTACATATTTTTTATTCACGACAATACAAGGTAAGTGTAAACACATACACTATAATATAGTTAAGAACTAATTATTATTTCGGTATTCAAGTAAAAATATTCTGTGGTAAGATAAAATTTACGATAAGCGCAACACATCAATCATTCTCACCCTTTGTAGTCTACCGCCACACTGCGTATTCCTCCGACTGCCTACCTTCTTCGTTTATTTTATTCTACCACACCACTATGGCAAACAGGGACCATCTGCAATAGTAAACAAAATAAACAAACGTAAACAAATCACAGATATTGCAAATCACAAAAAGAAAAGTAAATTAAATTTTTTAACCGATGAAACCGACATAGAAAATATAACCGAAAAACAAAATATTAATACAAATATCAATAGTCACGATAAAGCTAATGTGTGTGAATGAAATATAAATACGAATAACACAATAAATAAACTAAGAAATCACAAAGCTTCGATTGACATTGACCGCTTTACATCGACAGATGAAAACTATTTTAAAATAATTGATGGTATTAAATGTTTTGACATAAAATCTAGTAAAGTAATTTCAGATTCGAAAACTAATAGATACGGAGTTCTATGTTCTTTGTGTTTTACGAATCAATCTAAATCACAGAATATCATAATTGATGCTGAAACAGCAATAAGTTGTTGTACCTATACCATGTATTGAGTTGATTTTCAAAATGTTAGAGACAAATGAATTAATATTTGAAAACATTAAAGACATTTTAATTCAAAAAGTAAATGATAGGTTTAAAGCACCACTCTTGTTTAACGAATATGATAAAGTAATTGATCCCATTTTTCCGGCCATGACTAAAGTCAATGATGTATACGGTACTACATACAATAAATTACCTAAAAGTTTTGGCAAAAAGCTTAAAAGTAAAGAGTATTATACAGATTTATGTAAAAAATATAGTTGGTCTTCTGTTCGAAAAACCTAAAATTATAAAAAAAATATCTAACAAAAAATATAGTCATAGAAATACCGAACGATTAACTTAATTTGTTGTTTCTTAGAGCATTTCCTACACACCATACAAATTAGTATTTATTTTTATAGTTAATTTCGTTTCAGTTTTGGACGAAATTACATATTAAAAAACCTAGAATAACTATCATTATCGTTATAGAATATACATTATTACACTTCGAAACATTTCGAAATGATTGTACATATTTATATATAACTATTATCTGTTTATGTTATTTTATTTTATTTTATTACGTAAATATAACATGTATGTTTTTTTCGTTTACTAATTTTTCTCTGTATAAAAAACGGTGTACTAAGGGTTCTAACCTACATACACTCGTATAGACAATATATTGTAAAAAACCTTCTGACATATTTATTATTGTGATACAATTTATTTTTATAATTATATATAGGGGCCAGCAGACCCCTCTATAAATAT